CAGCTACTACTATTTTAAAGTATTTCTTACCAAGCATGGTAGTGTACTCCTGTATCCTACCTACCCAGGAGGCTGAGGCAGGAGGATTGCAAGTTTAAGGCCAGCCTGGGCAATTTAATGGGACCCTGTAGCAAGATAAAACTTTAAAAAGGGATGAGGATATGGCTCAGTGGTAAAGTACCCCTGGGTTGAATCCCCAATACCAAATCAGTAAATTAAAAAAAAACAAACTATTTCTCTTCCATTTATTAAATATTACTAGGAACCTATTTTGTGCCAGTAAGCACATTAGACCAGTCATTTTTATTTGTTTTTATTTATTTATTCATTTTGCTGCCAGGGATTGAACCCAGAAGTGCTTAACCACTAAGCCACATCCCTGACCCTTTTCTTTTATATTTTATTTAGAGACAGGGTCTTACTGAGTTGCTTAGGGCCTCGCTAAATTGCTGAGACTGGCTTTGAATTCAAGATCCTCCTGCCTCAGCCTCCCAAATTGCTGGGATTACAGGCGTGCACCACTGTGCCTGGATAATGTTATACTCTTAAATACTGAAGACCCCAAAGAAACTTCTTTGTGTGGATTATATCTATCTATATTTGTTAATTTTGAACTTGAAACCGAGGAATTTAAAAATAATAAGCCAGCCAGTCACAGTGGAATGCACTTGTAATCGTAGCTACTTAGGGGGTTGAGGCAGGAGGATCAAGTTTAAGGCCAGCCTCAGCAATTTAGCAAGTCCCAGTGTCAAAATTTTAAAAAATTAAAAAGAGCTCGGAGTGTTGCTCAATGGTAGAGCACTCCTGTGCTCAATCCCCAGTACCACAATAAATAAGTAAATCAAAAATGAAAAACCCCATTACATGTTAATGTAAGTAACATTTTTAATTAAAAATTATTATTATTTTTTTAATATTTATTTTTTTAGTTGTAGTTTGGTCACAATTATTTTATTTATTTATTTTTATGTGGTGCTGAGGATCAAACCCAGGTTCTCGCACATGCAAGGCAAGTGCTCTACTGCTGAGCCACAACCCCAGCCCCTAATTAAAAATTATTTTTCAAAATAAAAATGTGTATCAGGAACAGTGGTATTGTTGTACATTTTTTTTCCAAATGCCTTTACCATCTGGCTTAATAGAAAACAGCAGGAATTTCATACTTAGCTGCTTTTACTTTAATCTGTTGCCAGATCACACACCATGTATCCCGTGTATCCCGCAGACTTCATTATATGTTTATGAGAATGAGAAAGGAAAATAAAAGCTTAGAATTATTATGAAAATATTTTTTTACCTAGTAAGGATCCTCTGAAAGGATTTCAAGACAACAGCTTCAAGGGAACCTATATCACTGGAAATCAGGGAAATAAAACTCCAAACCTCAGGTCTTGTGTCCTGATGAAAGAAAATTTACAGTCAGATACCAAAAGTCATGCAAGATAACTTTATTATAAGTAAAAGTGAGTGAACAGAAAGTAAAAGCAAAGTGAGGCTCAAGCAGAGAGCACTCTCAAAAGAGAGAGGGTGGGCCGTCTCTGAGCAGAGAACAGCCTGTCTCCAATTTTATTACTGTTTGCTGATTACTGGGAGAGCTGGGGACCACCTTCTGTACTCTTTGCCAGTCAGGTGTTCAAATCCTCCTTCACATGGGTTGGTGGAGTTTTTGACCTTAGTTAGTCCACTCTCCAGAACTGTCATGGTGGCCCTTCTATTTTGGGGGCTTCATCTACAAGTCAATCCCATGGTAATGTGGGCACTGGGGTCAGTAACTGGTCAGGAGTTACCTTAGTGCACTAGCGCTATTAAAGGACTCTTCCTTCCCAGAAAATCAGAGACATTTATGGCCATATTCCTAACTTCACATCAACCTCAGTCGACCCTGTCAAGAGTCAGTCCCATTAATCCTTTTCTCTTGGTGTGATTTCCAACTAGCTCCTTTCCTTCTATTTATTTTCTACAATAAACTACTTTGGAAATAGTTTAAAGAAGACCCTCAAATAATTTAAAAAACGCTCTTGACCTTGCCATGCGTTTCATTGCTCATGGCTAGCTGCTACCTAACACGTAAACCATACTTTAGGAACCAAAGGTATTAGGATACAGCCCTCAAGTTGCTCAGGAACCTGCAGGAGTGAACATTTATAGGGATATAGACTGCAATGTGTTAAATTCTCCAAAAATGTAATAGTATAAGTGCTGGGAGGGATCAATTAGTTCCATCTGGAAGGTCAGCAAAGGCTTCAAGCAGATGTTGACATATGAGTTGGACCCTGAAGCAGGAGTAGGTATAAGAAAACAAGGTGAGGGCTTTCCTGGCTTAGAAACTGTTCCAGGAAAGACATGAAATCAGGAGCACTGATAAATCCAGTGTTCTAGAGCATAACATGCAGGAAGAAAAGAAGGGGAAGAGGAGGCTGGAGGAGTACCCTGGAGGCACAAGCTGAATAGAGTCTTTCTTCTGCAGGCAATGGGAAACAATTGAAGACTGTCAAGTAGAACATCACCAGAACATTAGCTAATGTTTGTGCTGCTACTCTATCTGGGCTAGGCACTGGCTTAGGAATGCAGTTCTCTCACCAATTCCTGAATTACTGCATTAGCCTCATTTTACAACAAAAGGCACAGAGGTTTCCAGCAATTAATTCACATACTTGGATTGCTTTTCTATTATGTAAACTGACTCCTGTTATTGATACATTTTTCTAAAGATCTTAGGATTGAGAAACTATCTATTTTCAGATATGGATAATAACAAGGATAAACAATAGAAATTGAGGGCCTTTTTGCTTCGTAGAAAGAAGTGGCTCTTCCTTCAAAAGGCCCAATAAAGCAATGAATCAGAATGTCACTGGTCAGCCAGGCGCGGTGGCACTTGCCAGTAATCCCAGCGTCTTTGGCTGCTAAGGTACAAGGATCCAGAGTTCAAAGCCAGCGAGGCAGTAAGCAACTTAGCGAGATCCTGTCTCTAAATAAAATACAAAATAGGGCTGGGATGTGGCTCAGTGGTCGAGTGTCCCTGAGTTCAATCCCTGGTACGCCCTCCACAAAATAAAATAAAATGAACAAGAATATCAATGGTCTTTTTTTTTTTTTTTAAGTTGTGGATGGACACAATATCTTTATTCATTTATTTATTTTTATGTAGTGCTGAGAATCGATCAAGCGCTCTACCACTGAACTATACCCCAGCCCTCAATGGTCATTCTTATTTGAACACAGGAACCACACCTGGAGGTTAACCTATAGCTATGTTAATGAGCACCTGCAAGGCCTATTTCAATGTAAAAGACCTTGAGATGCACTTGTGGAGGCTCACTTGCGGGAACACTTCCAGCCAACTCCTTTATCCCACAGGTGAAGATGGAAAGGAAGGAGATAATAGCCTTGATACTTTTTCAATGCCTATTTTACATACATTTCGCTCCATGGGCTACCTAGAAACATATATAAACTCCTAAACTTGCACACTAATATGGGTTATTCGGCTATCTGGCTCCCCCTCCCTCATGGTGTCAGTTCTATCTCTTCTGGCTTAAATAAATCGTGCTTCATTTACTCTTCCTTTCCGTGATAGTCTGCTTGGGAGACCTGACCCCAGAGGAAATTGGGGAAGCAGGTTTCTGCAGGAGCAGCAGTGGGCCTGCCCTTGGCCAGCAAAAGATCTTGCTGCAGGCCCTGGTTCTCATAATTACTAGTCCCTCTATAATAGTCCCTGGACTTCAGGGCTGCAACGGTGCATGCCTATAATCCCAGCAGCTGAGGAGGCTGAAGCAGGAGGAGCACAAGTTCAAGGCCAGTCTCAGCAATTTAGGAAGACCCAGTATCAAAATAGAATTTAAAAAGAGCTGGGTGTGACTAAACTAGTTCAATCCTCAGAAAAAAAAAGTTTTAGCAGAAATAAGAAAATGAACTAAGACCAAACTCATAAGAGAGAATCAAATACAGCATCTAAAATTACCAGCCATTTTTTTTTTTTTTCTCAGAATTGTGTGGTCACCTGTGTTCCTACATTGGGTGTTGTACCCTGTGGTTCTGGTTGTTCAGGAAGTAATATAAATTGAATATGTTGCCTGCTGGGAAGCAAAAAAAAAAGTTAACAGTTTGGGGGACTAAGTCTCTTCCCACCACTGTGAATTCGGTTTGCACTGTAACAATAGTCCAACAGGGAGGCACTTGAGTTTTCTTTTGGGGTGGGTTATAGATGTCAGTCGGATGTTGAAAGATCTCAAACCTAGATACCAGGCAACACCAAGTAGAACTTAGAAGCCCTTTGGGGACAAAAATGCATTAAGAATGAGTCGGTTTTCGCTCCTATTATTCACTCCAGATGTTTTGTGTCTTAGCACCCACCAAATCTGTGTTTGTCCAATACAGCATTGCCCAACTCATTCATTCAGATCTTGGGGTGATGGTATTTAGCACTCAACAATTGGACCCAGGGGTGCTTAATCATTGGGTCACATCCCAGCTCTTTTAAAATTCTATTTTGATACAGGGTCTCCCTAAATTGCTGAGGCTGCCCTTGAACTTGTGATCCTCCTGCTTCAGCCTCCTCATCTTGTAGGGATTATAGGCATGTGCCCCACGGCTAAAACGTTCTGATAGCCCTGAATCCCAAAATGCGTAAGCCTAAAATGAGTGTTTACACCTCCCTCTCCGTGTGCAGGGCACGTAAAACGGCTCCGTGGATTCCCTGGTTATCTCTAACCCTCCGACCTTTGCGAGCCTAGCCTTTAACCCAGAGGGCGGAGGGCGCGGTCTCCTAGGAGACCGCAGCGATTCGCCGCGCATGCGTACGGCCTGTGCCAGGCTGATGCAACCTCCCGCGTGCGAGCTGCTTTACCCAGAGTAAGGAAGCCGACAGGGACCTCTGGCGAGACCAATCCTCTGCCACGCGGAAGTGTGAGGAAAGACCCGCCCCCACCCCTAGGGCTCTGCAAATGACGTCTGGAGGCGTGGGGCTGGTGGCGTAGACGCCGGCCGTCCTTCGTCTTATCCGGTGGTTTCTGGCTGTCCTGCTTTGGCGCCGGCCCTGCGGCCATCTTGGGCTTCGCTTCTACTCGCACCGGCCAGCCTACCCAGCCCTTCCGGTGTCTCGCGGTCTCGGGGCTTTGCAGCGGTCCGCGTCTCCGAGGAAGTCGCCGCCACGGGAGGGCTCCTATCTATGGTGGAGAGGCCTCGCGCGGACTAGGACGCCTCCTTCCCCGCCAGGATGGATGTCGCCTCGGTCGTCGCCTCCTGCGTGAGCCGCCCTGCTCGGTGGTCTGTCGCCCGTTGCCGAAGCCGCTGCTCTCTGTGGCTCTTCTGCTGGCGCTGGGATCGGCCTGGAGCCCCGACTCCGCCGCTGGGCGCGGCCAAGGCTGTCTAGGCCTCCTCTCGAGTCCCGTCCGACCCGTTGCCGCTGAGCTCCGCCGTCTGCCCGAGAGACTGCCAAGAAAAAGAAGATGGAGCCGGCGACACATGGATGGCGGAAACAGTCGGCCCCTCCGGCCGGCTCCTGGTTCCGGCTGCCCTTCTTTCCTCGGCGATCGCAAGCAGGCTTTTCCAAGTTCCCGGTACGTCCTGCTCCTGAAAACTCCGGGGAGCCCACACTACCTTCCTCTTCCCAGCCCGAGGCTCGGACCAGCTACTGGGCGAAGCTGCTTTCCCCGCTCCCCAGCTTGCTTCAGAAGTTGCTGATTTGGATCCAGCTTTTCAGTGGCATAATTCCGACCAGATGGCTAGATTTCGCGGGAGGCTACAGCGCCTTGAGAGCCTTGAGGGGACGGGAGGCAACAGCTGCCCCCGCGGGGCAGAAAACTTTGAGTTCGCTCCGGCTGGACCCGTCGGACAGCACGGTTGCCAGTTCCCTTAATTGGCTAGAGGAGGGGATCCTCTGGCAGTGCTCGTCCTCAGACCTAGAATTGGAGCTTAAAGCCCAGGGAAAGACTTTGGACCCTGCAGCACACGCGTTTCTCCTGGAGCAGCAGCTGTGGGGAGTGGAGCTGTTGCCAGGTAGCCTTCAAGCCCGTCTGTTCCCTGACCGAGAACCTGGCTCTGTGCCCTCTGGGTCTCTAAGAGTTCAGCGCTTAGGCAATTTTAACGTAGTCTCCTATGTGCTGAACCCCACCTACCATGACTGTCTTCCCCAGCTAGAGCTCGGCTGTCAGAACAGTGCTGGAAGTGGCGAGCTGGTTGATTTCCAGGCATTAACCCCAGAGAGCAGCTGCCTTTTTGAGGATCATTGTCATCCCCAGCCACTGCGTGCAGAGATCTCCGCAGCTTCGTGGCAGGGCTGTCCACCTCTTTCTAGAGAAGGCTTGCCTGAAATCCAGCACCTTCGTATGAAACGGCTGGAGTTCCTTCAGCAAGCTAGCAAGGGCCAAGAGTTACCCTCCCCTGACCAAGATAATGGCTACCACAGCCTGGAGGAGGAACACAACCTTCTCCGATTGGATCTGAACCACCACTTGGATAACCCTACACAGCCTGTTCCCCTTGAGGAAGCCATTCCTGGAACCACCCAGGAGCCCAGGGAGGAAAAAATAGAATTGTTGACTAAAGAGGTTCCACTTGGCTTGGAAAAGCAAAACCATTCTGGAAGCTGTCCATCTTGTGAGGTACCTGAGGAAAGAGAGCCTGAAGAGGACCAAGTCAGTGTGGTTGATTCCTCAGACATAGAAGATGATCTTCCCATTTCTGCCAGACCAGCTTGTAGTAACAAATTGATAGATTACATTTTGGGAGGTGCATCCAGTGATGCGGAAACAAGTTCTGATTCAGAAGGTGAGGATTGGGAGGAGGAAGCTGAGGATGATGGTTTTGATAGTGATGGCTCACTGTCAGAATCAGACTTTGAACACGACTCTGAAGGGCTTCACCTTTGGAACTCTTTCTACAGTGTAGATCCTTATAATCCCCAAAACTTTACAGCAACACTTCAGACTGCTGCCAGAGTTGTTCCTGGAGACCATTCTGATTCAAGGAGGGATTTGTCTGACAAGTCTGATGTTGGGAATTGTCCCCAGTCTGAAATCCTTCCTGAGACATCTGACCTTAATTCTGGGGAGGAAGATGATTGGGAATCTAGTGCAGATGAGGCAGAAAACCTGCAACTGTGGAACTCTTTCTGTAATTCTGATGATCCCTACAACCTTTTGAATTTTAAGGCTCCTTTTCAAACATCAGGGAAAAAATGGAAAGTCTGTCAGGGTCCCCAGAGCCCATCCAAGTCCATGGTGGCCATTTCTGAGTGTCACACCTTATTTTCTTGTAAGGTACAACTGTTGGGGGGCCAAGAAAATGATTGTCCAGACCTGGGACAGTGTGCGGTTCCTTCTGGAGAGAGACACATGCATATCAAAAGAAAAAAGGTTTGTTATTTTTAACATGTCTGATAATTTGTCTGGTTTGGATATAGTTCAATGTAGCAGCACAATTTACTTTTTTAGGCATAGTTGTACATATTTTTGAGGAAGGCCTCTGAGCTCATAGCCTTGGAGTGAGAAATTTTCAAATGACCCCACTTCCTCTCCTGTGTAGAGAACTGTTCCTGTTTAAAAGGAAGATGCCAGTATATAGATGTTAGCAGTTAGGCAAACATTATTTTCATTTGGATTTGTGGCTCTGGACTCTTCCAACTTTTTACTCTCTTAGGGACAGAAATATTAAACCTTGTGTATATATGATTAAATTTCTAGAAATTGAGAAGGTCCTAATATAGCCATAGAGGTTTAAAATGGATTTATTTGTGGTATTTTGTTTACAGATGCTTAATTTATTTGCATGACAACAGTGTTTTCATTCCTGTCCATTAGAGCCTGGAGGGATGATAACATATAGCAAGTCAGATGTATCTGGTTGTTTGCCAGTAAAGAAAACACTAATTTTAGTATCAAACTTTTTGATGGTTTAAAAACAATACAGGAAGTGATACTGTCTTTTTCCTTAAGAATGAAATACTAGTTAGCCCTGGCTTTTGAGACGGGGTCTTGCTAAGTTGCTTAGGGCCTTGCTAAATTGCTGAGGCTGGTCTTGAACTTGCAATCCTCCTGCCTCAGTCTTCAGAGCCACTGGGATTACTGGCATGTGCTACTGTGCCCAGCTGAAAATATCTTTAAATGATAGTAGTTTTAATTTTTTTTTAAAATATTTTTTTAGTTGTAGTTGGACACAATACATTTATTTATTTATTTATTTATGGTGCTGAGGATCGAACCCAGTGCTGCACACATGCTAGGGGAGTGCTCTACCGCTAAGCCACAATCCCAGCCCTAGTAGTCTTAATTTGTAGAAGCAGAGTAAGTCATATTAAAAGTTAAATTTTATCTAGGCACAGTGGCACTGTAACCCAGTTACTTGGGAGACTGAGGCAGGAGGATTGCAAGTAAGTATAAAGGGCTGGGGATTTAGCTCAGTGGTAGAGTAACCCTGGGTTCAATCCTTAGTACCTCTAAAATAAAATTTGAGTTCATACTTTGTAACTTGATAAAAGGGCTTTTTCTTTATTCTTCCAAGGCCCCTCTGGCAAAAATGAGCAATTTAGAGTGAACAGGCAAGAAAGAAAGTGGTCGTGGGGTGGCTGGGGATGTGACTCAGTGGGAGAGCAATTTGCCTGGCATGCATGAGGCTCTGGGTTGGGTCCCCAGCACTGCAACATAAAGAAAGAAGCAGAGTGGGGCAGTGGAATGAGAACTTTGCATCTGGAGACCTGTGTGCTCCACTCCTATCTGGTTTAGGGCCAAGAGATTTGGGGAGACAGCCAGACCTAGGAAGTTACTTGACTCAAAGGCCTTGATCTACTTACTTATCTTGATGGTAATAATAATAATAAATGTTTACAAATATTGCAAGATTTATTGTTTTGTGGTGCTGGGAACCCAGCCCAAGGTCTCCTGCAGCCCAAGAACGAGCTCTATGTCCCCAGCCCAAGTTTTTGCAAAATTTCAATGAGATGAATAAAGAAAACTCAGAATTCATTGCCTTGCCTTTGAATGGCTCCAGTCAATCTCATTTTAGCTTCAGTAAAATTAAATGAGTAAATGGATGTAAGACTGTCGATTATGAACCAGATGCAAAACTTATAAAAGATAATGTCTAAGTATGATAAAATTATTTGGCAGTCTTTGACTACCTGCCATTCTTTAGTATATGGGAATAATGGATAGTGCCTGATTCTTCAAAGATGTCCTTCAGATCCAGAAGTTTAAAATAAATACCTCATGCCTGGCAAAATAGTGCAGATTGTGGAACCAGACAGTGTTTGAATTCTGATTATACCACCTAAATGCTGTGTGATTTGGACATGTTAGTTAACCTCTCTTTTTCTGTTTGTACAGTGGGGATGATATTAGTCCATATATCTGTAGGGTTGATGTGAGAGTTAAATAAGATAAAAATTGTAAAGTTATTAGAAAAGAGCTAAACATTATAAAGTGCTTGTTGTTATTTATCTTAGTGACACAACGAATGAGTAACGACTAGAATGCAATAACTAGTAAGATGTTACATACAACTAATTGTCCTCAGGGGCATTCCTCGGCCTGATGTAAAGGGAACGAAAGTAGTAGTCCTCAGTGGGACTAGCTGATGTAACTGTTAAACATACTTTAAAGCAAGTATTTATCTTTTAAAAAAAATAGTTATTTTTGAGTTGTAGGTGGACACAGTATCTGTATTTCATTTTTATGTGGTGCTGAGGATCCAATCCAGTGCCTTACTCGTGCTAGGTGAGCACTCTACCACTGAGCCACAACCACAGCCCATGGAGTTTGCTATCTTAAACAGAAACTTTTTTTTTTTTTTTTTTTTAAATCATGTCATACACCACAAAGGATCAGGTATTAGAATGCCATTTGACTTTTTATTTATTTATTTTGTGGTACTGGGGAGCGAAGCTAGGGCCTCATGCATGATACCACTGTGCTGCACCCCCGCCCCAAAAGAAACTTCTTTATAAAAAGTAAGTGGAGATTAAGTAGAAATTACTAATAATGAGTAGGGACTGTTACTTATTACATGTCATCATGTATATTATAATAGTCACAGTTTCATGTACAGGTTGTGCCTCCCTAATCTGAAAACTCAAAATCTAAAACTTTGAAGTGGCAACATCATACTCAGGAACTTTTGGATTTTGGAGTATTTTAGATTTCAGATTTTTGGATTAGGACACTCAACCAAGTAAATTTTATGTAAATATTCCAAAATCCAAAAAAATTCTGAAATCTGAAACATCTCTGGTCCCAAATAGTTCAGATAAGGGACACCTACCTGAAAATATAGTGATAGTATACTGAATACAAAGAGAGTATTTTAAAATCTTAACTACAAAGTCTTTCATAGTAATTCAAACTTAAAGTACTAATTAGTACTAGTAAAAGTACTAATTTTGCTATATTTTGTTTACTAAATAGTTTTCAGTATTCTGATTACAAAAGTAATAAAAATACTGATGATTCAAAAATTGGAAAGCACTGGAAAGTGATTTTCTTTTAAATAAGGAAAAATGAAGTAGAAATAAACAAATCTTGTTAAAGCCTTTGCTATGATAAAGCCATTGCCTTCCAGGGATATAGTGGTTGTTTTCTAAAATACATTGACATTGTGGGGGAAGAATATTATAGAACTGTATGTATTTCCCTAAGGATTAGAGAATAGCAGGAATTAATAATAGCAGAAAAGTTTCAGTTCACCATCTGGATTTATTGTCTTGGCACTAAAAGCCAAGGACTGAGGTTGAGGAGACTGTGTGGATGTCTATAGTTATATGAAAGACAGTTGAAAATTTCAGGGCATTTGTTTGGACAAAACAGTGTCCTTTTTTTAAATTTCAGGTGATTTAACATACTTGGACTTAAGAAAGAAGTAGTAGGGGCTGGGGCTGGGGTTTAGCAGTAGCACACTTGTCTAGCATGTGCGAGACACTAGGTTCGATTCTCAGCACCACATAAATTTAAAAAAATAAAGGTCTATCAACAACTTAAAAAAATTTTTTTTTTTTAACAAAGAAGTAGTAGCATAAAGGGTTATTGCTTTCAGTGCTGATTTTAAGATCCTGAAGTGTTGTTAAAATTAGTCTTTGTCTTTATAGGTAACCTTCCTTGAAGAAGTTACTGAGTATTATATAAGTGGTGATGAGGATCGCAAAGGACCATGGGAAGAACTTGCAAGGGATGGATGCAGGTTCCAGAAACGAATTCAAGAAACAGAAGATGCTATTGGATATTGCTTGACATTTGAGCACAGAGAAAGAATGTTTAACAGACTCCAGGAAACATGCTTCAAAAGACTTAATGTTTCTGAGCAACGTTAAGATGAGCTGACAGCCCGTAGCCCTAGCATACACTACCTCTTACTTGAGAGGTTTCTTTTTAACACAAATACTGGCAGCTGTCTTTTGACTTTTTAAAAATTTTTCCCAACATATTCCACTTAGAAATGTGCAGGTTTAAGTCAGCCCTGATAATGAAGGATGTGTGATTTTTTAATGTTCCTTTTTTGATTTTGTTGAATGTGTTTTTAACATTCTTTGCTTGAGGTGAAAAGGGGACCTTTGAATTATAATTTTGCACTTTCAAAACTTATTTTCTTGGGAAACAATATTTATAGGGCTTAGAGCTCATTTTCAGTTCTATTTTAAATTATGTATGCTTGTCAAAACACTTTGGGCTTTTTCTTGTTTTTTTTTTTTCCCCCAACATCTGAAATTAATGGGCTTTGATGTTTTTCTGTACTTTTTTATTTCAGTGATTTGGCCTGTCTGCCTTATGGCTAAAAATAATAATCTTGTGTATGTTATCAACTTAAAACTACATTATCTTTTTTCAGAAAGTACATTATTTTGTTTCCACCCTTTCAAATGACTGGTAGAAAACATGTGGTGTTTTTTTTCCAAGTTCTACTTGAGATATTTCCAAGGACTGCCACAGAATGTGTGCATGCGGTACTCTCTGCTACTTTGGAAAGCTACATCTTTCTGCCAAATTTTAACATCTAATATATTTGATTTCTGCGTAAAATGTTCTTTGGAGAGGGATCTGAATATGTTATTGTAGGTCCCAGTTGAATGTGGTCCTTTGTATCTTTCAACAGGTATAGACTGTTAAATGTTCTAGAAAGTAATCACATTATAAGAATTTATTTTTTAAACTTAAAAGCCAAGAATTTTCCTAGGAGGAAGATAAAAGTAATTTGGTTTTGTTGTATATTATACTGTCAACAGAAATCCAGTGTTAATATAATGCCTCAGCACTGTCACTTTAAAAACCTGTCAGGGTGACACTGTAAAAACTTGGAACTGGGCAGTTCTGAATTTTCAAGTTTGAAGTAAAAAATATAAACTTCAGTTTATATCCAGGTTTATTATTTTCTACTATTTTAATAATGAGAGAAGCAATGGTTAGCCTATACTTTCCCAAAAGCATAACTATAGATTTAACATCTAGAAAGTCTTAATATCTTTAGCCCAAAGTTTACTTTTGAAGTCTTGATGTTGATTGGTTGGCTTTACATGGTGTGCATCTGTTAGGCTGAAGGAATATGAACCTACTCTTGAATGGTCTATTTTTCTGCCACGTGCCTCTCACCACAGGTAAAGGCAAAATGTAATGTAAGTAGAACAGAAGATTGCTTAATTTTGAACTTACTTCAGTGTGAGGATGAATTTTTCAACAGAAGTGCTTGCAGGGTTACTACCTCAGTTTATAATCTACCTGGTCATTAATTTATTTCTATCTGGTTTGCTCTAAGAATTGCCTCCAGTGTTGATATATATATCTTCATTCATACACACACTGAGAGCGCATCACCATAAAAGTTGGTCCCATTTTTGCAGAGCCCTTATTCTGTGTGTTCTGTGCACGTCCGTTTTAGTTGTGATCCTGGGAGATGCATTTACAGAGTCCAGTATAATAAACACCATGAGAACAGGCTGGTTTCAGACACCAGCTGTCTGTTGGGAAGCAGGCACCATTTGCCTAGACTTGGTGACAATACCTAGACATTCTTTTGACTAAACCATGCTGTTGTTCAGCCACTGGGTTGTGTTTTGTGTTTCCGAAATCTAGTACTCTGCATATTTGATGGGACATCTTTACATTTATTGGACTTTGGAAAATTGTTTCCTTGGGATTGTGCCCTTACTGTCAAAGAATAAGAGCTTGGTTAAGAATTCTCCCATTTACTATCCTCCTTAAGGAAGGAACGGATGGTGACAAGTAGGACAGAAGGGACCATTTTAATATTGACCTGGAGGAGAAAAAATTCAAGTCAATTTCATCCCGTTCCTAGATGGTAAAGTAAATAAGCCCCTCCCCCAATCTTAAAATCCTAGGAGGTTTTAACTCAACGTTTTATACATTAAAGTCTTGTAATGGTGCTTTACGTGTCAATGTAGCTTGTGAAAGACTTTGTACAGACAGGTAAAATTTCCATTTCTGAGTGACAAAATGTGATAATGACACCTCCTCCTCTGTAACTTGAAATCAAAACTATCAGATTTTATTTTTATATAATTTAAGGAAGGTGAAGTTAAGGGACTAGAAGACTTCTAAATTGGCTTCTTCAATTTAAATGTAATATGATTTAAATGTAACCAGTTGGGATTTTATAGCTAAAATTATATTTGTGTATATAACTTAACTAACCTGTAAATTGTAATAAATATATTTGCAATTATTAAAATGTTAAATGATATTTTGGTTCAATTTTATGTTGTATATTGGTTTTGGAGTTTCTGAGCAGAATTTTCAGGGTTGAATCCTTTTGTAGGCACACTGTCGACTTAAAAGTGTTGGACAGTTTCTGTGACATGTAAATTGCACCACTGCTCGTTGAAGGCAAGTGTGGTCAGATGAGTATCATAACTGCAGATCCCATTTTAATAATGAAAAGGGAGAATTTAGTTCTGAGAGTATGAATGTCCTTTCAAAGAGAAAAGATGTAATTCTAAAATGACCCTAGCTTTGAGTTCCACCACAAAGAAAACTGTCAAATAAATGGAGTATTCACAGAGCAGTGAAAGTCACATGATGGGCGGAGCATAGCATTTCTCCTAAGTTACAGGGAAATCATCTGCTTCTTAGTTTTGTGCATTGTTATTTAAAGTTGGTAAATCACAGGGTTTTCCCATTTATGAAATTAAATGAATGTGATGTAACATTAGGAAAAACTTAAACTTTTACCCAGAAAAAAATACAAACATTCAATCAAGCCTACTAACGGATTAAGGAATAATAGCATTCTTAATTCAAGCCTTTGGATCTTCCTAGCTAATGAAGAAAAGTTAGGTATATTTCTGAATTGGGAGGAAAGAAAACAATTTCAAAAAGTGAGTGGTTAGTACAAGATGTTTTGTTTGTTGATACTGGAGATTGAACTTAGGAGACTTTTATCACTGAGCTACATCCGCAGCCCTTTTTTATTTTTTATTTATTTTTTAAAAAAACGTTTTTTAGTTGTTGATGGACCTTTATTTTATTCATTTATTCATATGCAGTGCTGAGAATCAAACCAGTGCCTCACACATGTGAGGCAAGTGCTTTACCACTGAGCCACAACCCCAGCCCTTAGTTTTTATTTTGAAACAGTTACTTAAGGCTTTACCAAGTTGCTAAGGCTAGCTTTGAATTTGTGATCCTACTTCAGCCTCCTGAATTGCTAGGATTACAGATGTGTGCCACTGCATCCAACATGGTTAGCACAAATTGAACTGACAGTCCTAGGTTATATTTTTATTTCCATTTTAGAAATAGAATTAAGCATATTTTGCTCTTTTCCCCAGCATTATAAAATAGCCACATTCACATCAAGCCAGATTTATTGCTCTTTCTATCCTGGTATCTTATAGAAATGGTACAGTTTTTCCTTTTTACTTTGCAGAAAGTTTAAAGCAAATATTTAATTGTTGATCTCAGACATGGATTTGGGAAGTGTGTGTGTGTGTGTGTGTGTGTGTGTGTGTGTTACTGGGGATTGAACCCAGGGCTTTGTACATGCAGGGCAAACACTCTACCAACTGAGCTATGTTCCCAGCCCTGGATTTGGGAATTTGGTGGTCTCTGTCATATTCTCCTTTGGAGGGAGACATTTCCTTTGGGTTCTTCTATATATCTTTTCAAAATAAAAATGGAACTATCTTCATTTTTCTCATAAAATGCATAGTATTTATAAAATAATACAGAGATATACATAGGCAGTCCTACATTTAAAAAAAAATATCTCCAGGTGCTTTTTGAGCTGAGAATTTTATGTATTAAAAAGATGTTTGAGGGCTAGAGTTATAGTTCAGTGGTAGAGCACTTTCCTGGTATGTGTGAGGCACTGGGTTCCATTCTCAGCATCACATATAAATAAATAAAGGTCCATTGACAACTAAAAAATATATGTATATAAAAGAGTTGATATTTTTTCATTTAACTAATGAGGACATAAATGTTAGCTAACTGTGTACATCAGTAATTAGGATTTTTCTAACCTAAATTTGCTCCAGTGAGACATAGGTCTGCATAAGTCAATTAAGACTTTTTTGTGTGTGTGTATGTGTGTGTGCTGGGAATTGAACCCAGGGCCTTATGCATATAAGTCAAGCACTCTATCAACTGAGCTATATCCCCAGCCCATCAGCTAAAACTTTACAAAAGCAGGACTGGAGATGTAGCTCAGTGGTAGGGCACTTGCATAGCATGCATGAGGCCCTGAGTTCAATCCCCAGTGCTAAAAAAAATAACACACACAGCTGGGCGCAGTGGCACACGCCTGTAATCCCAGCAGCTTGGGAGGCTGCGGCAGGAGGATCATGAATTCAAAGCCAGCCTCAGCAACTATGAGGCACTAAGCAAAAGTGAGACCGTTTCCAAATAAAATACAAAATAGGTATAGGGATGTGGCTCAGTGGTAGAGTGCTCCTGAGTTCAATTCCTGGTACCTGTGCCTCCCCCGCCCAAAAAAAAAAAAAAATACAAAAAGCAGCATGGGGGCTGGGGTGTGGCTCAGTGGTAGAGTGCTTGCCCTGCACATGTGAAGCACTGGGTTCAATTCTCAGCACCACATATAAATAAATAAAGGTCTATCAACAACTAATTAAATATTTTTTAAAAGAAGTATCATGGTATTGAGATCTATAATAATAGGCACAATAAGACATTTCTTTCTCAATCCTGCTCACTTTGAGAATTCACCAAGCAGGACCTATGGTGCTTTCAACTAATAAGTTTCAGTGGCAAGTTTGACGTCAGCAAATTTAAAGAGAAATCCTTGTACACATGTGGAAGGGGCATGCAGATGAAGATAGGGATTATGTATTACTATGTAACCACTGGTGGATTCACCAGGCAGAGAGGGGAAATGGTTTGTGTAAAGTGGGTTGCTTGACCCATGGGGAGGATACTCTAGATAGAGATCTAATGAGACCAGCAGGCTATTTGCTGTAAGATCTAGAACCCTATTCAGGAAGAAGCTTTGAAGCAACTTTTCAGGTTTTATTCTGTTGCCCTCCTTTTTGTTTCATTACTATCCTTCAAGTTTCCTCCTGACTGTATAGTTGAATATTTTATTTTCACTACTGTTGTATACGTCCTTACCTAGAAGGACCTCTACCTAGAGGACTTCCTTACCTAGAGGACACAAAAAGAACAGCACGATTGCAGAGGAACTGTCTGATAAGAAGAGAGGAACTTGCGGAGTTCTTGACTCTTCTATGCTTTACCCACCAAAAGGTTAGCACTTTGAGACCTGATTAACTTTCAGAAACATCCCAAAGCTGTTCAGGATCAAAGAAAGAGGTGGTAATGAAATGATAATGCTGCTTTGAGTTAAGACTTTTTTTTTCTTTTTTTTTTAAATTGGGTCCCAGGATTGAACCCAGGGGTGCTTAACCACTAAGTTGCTGAGGCTGGCTTTGAAACTTCCATCCTTCTGCGCTGCTGGAATTACAGGCATACGCCATCGCACCTGGCCTTTGAAGCCTGTTTTAATTTGGCTCTGAAGGCAAAAACCAAAGAATCCCAAAAGAATTTTGAAGAAGACTCATGGGGAATATATGTACTGAAATGGTTGTTTTTAAAAACAAATTTCATCATGAAAAGACTAGCCCCTCTTTGGATCTCAGATATCACCTCCAAGAGACCTATCAATCCTATTCCCCAACTGTCCTTTCCTTCTCATATTACTGTTTAAAATTACATTCAGGCAATTACATGCCTGTAATCTCTGCTACCTGGGAGACTGAAGCAAGAGGGTCTCAAGTTCAAGACCAGCCTCAACAACTTAGCAAGACCCTGTTTAGTCAGCACCTAAGCAACTTAGTGAGATGCTGTTTCAAAATTAAAAATAAAAAGAACTGGGGCTGGGTGCAGTGGTGCACACCTGTAATTCCAGCATCTTGGGAGGCTGAGGTAGGAGGATCTTGAGTGCAAAGCCAGCCTCAGCAAAAGCTAGGTGCTAAGCAACTCATTGTGACTTTGTCTCTAAATAAAATACAAAATAGGGCTGGGGATGTGGCTCAGTGGTCCAGTGTTCCTGAGTTCAATCCCAGATATCAAAAAGATATCTGTAGCTTAGTGCTTAGATATATGTAGCTTAGTGCTAAAGCACCCCTGGGATTAGTCCTCGGGACAAAAAAAGAAAAAAGAATCACATTCACTCTGATCTCATCTGGTTAACATTTTTAGTTGTTCTTGTCTACTCCAACCCTCAGTGGCCTATAAAATCCACAAAACTAAGGATCTTGTTATGGGCCAGAGCCTCGAACTGTGCCTGTTATATTCAATAAATGTTAAATGACTTAATCACTTTCTTAAAATCATCTCTCATATAGTCACAAATTTTTTTATTGAAGTTTCATCAACACAGCCATGACAGATCAGAAAGAAATGTGCCATGATCCTAGATGATGTAGATTCAAAGAACCTAAAGGTCCTTAGAGAAAAGCTACAGAAAGCTCTAACTAAATTCATAGAATGTAATTACAAATTCCACAGTGGCTGGGGATACCACATCCATTAATTTGAGTGTCATTAATAAGCTACATGTTAATTTATGAATTTAATATGTGAACAAATCAGCTGAGGCCTTTCTTTTCCAGAATTAATATTAAGTATTAGAGTAGCAGAGTATTCTCACCACTCCAGGGCTTCACGGTCACCTTTTTGGCAGATGGGCTTTGGGTTCTGCAATGCTCCATTTAGCCCACCAGATGGCAATACTTACCAGGGCTCCCGATGGCCCTGACTATTCACATCTGATGGCTCTTGCTCCTTGGAGGTCCTCCCTTCCGTGCATCAACATTCTGCCCTGTCCTGCCCATTCCAGGTCTGCTGGCCATTGTGACTCCACCTTTTTGTAGTGACTACCCAAAAGTGGAGGCTGTTTTTTCATTGGAGAACCAAGACTTGTATTTGATAACAAATAACTGATTCTTTCCTGATGTACCCAGGAGGAGAAGGACATGGATAAGGTGATTCAGGAGACTGGAGGTGAGATCTAAGAGGCTGATAGAGTATTTTATGGGTTTTGTGTTTGGAGTTTTTCCAGTGAGCACTTTATCTCACCTGTTTGCTCAGCATTCCATTTTCTGACACATTCCTGTGCGCTGGGGCAGTCATTTCCCTTGGGGGGAGGGAGAGGGTGCCATATTGTTTCCCGAATGGAGAATCATCACTCTGACTGGCATAGAAAGA